TATTTTTTTCTTCTTATATACCTAATAATGTTGATTTGATGCAAGTTATCAATTTGGTTTTGCTTTGTACTTGTTATTTCTATTCATATGTGCTTGTAGACATTGTCTGGAAACAAGTTGAGCCTTTAGGGTCTTGTTTTTACATTTGGTAGGAAGAACTCAAGCCGTATTTTGTATGATTGTTAATATTCTCTATGGCTGAGGCAATGCTTAACCAATTTTGAAATTTCTCCATCTGTTAAAGTGAAATATTTTGTTTCAGGTCCAGTGTAATCAGTGGGCACTTAATCCTGTGGATAGATCTTTCCATGGTCTCAGGCAATTTCTTCATATAAATATTTTGATCAATCCTCAATTAAACACTCGAAGAAATCTTATTGCACGTGTTCCCTTTATTCCTTTTTCTCCTTTCTGTTCCTCTGTGCTGTGTTCTCCCACTGCATTTCAAACTCTAAATTTTATCTGCTCAACTGCAGATGTCCACATGACTCCAGTTATATTCTCACTGAGTCATGACCTGGGCACTCTCTTAAGGAAATGATTTGGGATCATTGTGGGACTCACCTTGTTTATTTTGTCTTTATCTGTGTTTCATGATTATGCAGCCAGTGGTACTTCATTATAGTCAGATAATAAGTCATATTAGAAAGAGTTCTTGTTTTTTAAAAGATTTTATTTATGTAATTTTGCATAGAACTGGGGTGTAGCCAGAGTTTCAGGGGAATAGGTGTGGGTGGAACATGATGATCTACTGAAATACATTATTAATGGGAGCATTGGGTGTGACAGGAGAGGTTTGCTGCCCATGTGAGGGCTAACTCCCTGGCTGGGAACTGAACTCAGGTATTACCAGTAGGCCTTCACAGTGGTAGCATTGAGACAGCCCATAGGCCACCAGGAAGGCCTAAAATTACTCATATTAGAAGGATTTCTAATCCTTATTATTTATGTGTATTTTCAAGCATTGTATAAAATACTGTGCCGTTTATTATTTTACTAGAGTTTCTATTATACCTAACTTGAAATCAGTATAACATGCTTTCTCATTCAGCTTTCTATGAGAAATCTCCTTGTTATGAAGAAAACATGGACTGGAAATTCATCAGTGATAATTATTTTCTATTTGTGAATAATTTACTCAAGTTTCCAAGAGTGTCCATAACCAGGTAAGATTTTAGAATTTTAATTTCCAGGTCTTGGTTTAGATTTTATATAAAGATAGGAAAAACCTAATTATAGGTTAACCTGCTTTCAAATGTAAGGTCCTGATCTAATTATAGATATAGTGTTTAATTTAGATGTTTAACAATTACTTATTTTATGGAATGTATAACTGATTTTCCCATGGCATTTGAAAATAACTACAAATTATAGTAATGAAACTTTATTTCAGAAAGTAGAATGATTTTTAATGGATACTTGGAAAGCAGATATCTTTTCAAAAAGTCTTATTTAGTTGCTTAGATTTAGACATGAATTAAATTATTTAGTGTCTGATAGTTCTGGATTCTTTGGAAAGAGAAGTGATGTTTGAAAGTAAAATCTGCCTGATTATCTACTTCTCTATTTCAGCATGTATGTTGAAATGTTAGTCTTATATATGATCTTAGTATAGGAATAATTTAATAACATAATTGTGAAGCATATTGGGTGATATGTAGTTTGCAAACTTAGGAATGGATCAAACTTGTCTGTGAATTTTCTAAAAACAAATGTCTGAAACTTGCTCAAGATATGCTAAATCTTGCCCTTCAGATGACACACAATTTTTGCATATTCAACATAATCTATAGTTGACCCAGGTGCACACCAAAGTTTGAGGGTCAATTCTTTTACATTTTTTACCACCTTGGATTCATCATTCCTGTAAAAAATTTTAAACTCAACTATCAGCAGGCACAAATGAAAGATAGTGGGATTACCTTCTGAATGTCAGTCATTGCTCATGTCAGATTTATAACTGACTTTCCTGAAAGTCTCACATGTTTAATAACCTTGCAAGAGAACAATAAAACTAGTCAATATATGAGTTAGGGGCATGTTTAATTTTGTATTTGTAGACACATAACAGCTGGCACAGTATCTATTAATACTGATTTATTTGATGGTGACTTAGTAAATGAAATAAATAATAGTTGTCATTATTATATCATTTTGAAAGCTGAGTTTAAAATGAAAAACCCTGGCCCACATCTCACTCCTGCCACATAATAGCAGTGTAATCTGCCTACTTACAAAAACATTTTAAAATATTTGTTTTTCCATGAAATGTGTTTACCTTTAAAGGTGGCTGTAAGAGTAAATAAAGATTGAAATATAAAAGTTCTATATAAATTTTAAAGTTATGTAAAAATGTGTGGCACTATTACTACTTGTAATATGAGTTACACTTCAACTGCTACTCATACTACTGTTCCTATTCTATCATCTCTCAGTCTCCAATACAAACAAGACAGTTTTGTATTCAATTCTATTAATCCAATTATTTGCATAGTAGTTACACACCTATTTCTATGCAGGAACAAAGCTCCTATTGAATTCCTGTTACCAGAACTTTCTATTTCCTATTCAAATTTTTCCAGGCAAGGTATTCAATATTCTATGTTTTAAAGTAGCCCCTCACTGTCTTATGAACAATAATACCCTAAAATTAATCCCACATTTTTT